GGGTGAACAAAACTCACTAACTTCCTAGGGAAACAACACCTTGACCTTTCGACTTGCATGTGATCAGGACATGAACCTAACCGCAGCAACTTTTGTGCCAGCCTACGTTTGCAAATGATTGCAAAGGGGAACATTGAAGAACTCTAGCTCGGGAAACAAAACTCACTGTTTCATGTGGGACCAGTCAGTAAGTGCTTAAGTACTATAACAATGTTATTGCACAATTTGCACACATTTTGCAAGGATTTTCTCCCATCCTTCCCTGAACATACAGTGTACAGCATGAAGAACTTTGTGAAGAACTAAACTTTGTGCTTTGAACTTTGTGACAAGAGCCTATTAAGTGACACAGCCAACTGATGGATTGCATAATAATTCAAAATTTAGCATTGGAATTATCCACTAGCTTCTCATTGGTTTATAAAAATAGAACTGAGCTTGCATCAATGCTTTCACTGGTATTTAACTAAAAAAACATTCCTTTAATAACAGTACATGGCACATGGCTTTTGCTTCTATACACTTATTTGATGAGTATTAAGAGAATGACTGCTTAATGATTGTTAAAGCAATTGAGGAGTTTACATCCCCCTTATCCCCCTCCCCGCCAAACCCCATCCCTCACTAAACATTGACATTTTGAATTATCCCCCAGGCCAAAAATGGTGTTCAAATACCCCCACCATAGTGTCAATCAAATTCCCTTACCCCAGTCCAAGGGGATATAGTCTTGAAAGTCAAGTCAAACTTTATTCAGGCAGGGTGGCCCCATACATGGCTAAAATTAGAAATGAAAAAGGAAAAAAAAAATCCCCCTCTTGTAAAATCCACTTTGAACTTCCACTGTACTTCCACTGTGTCCCAAGTATTGTTTTATATATGGCAATTAAATTGTCACTTATTGGTAAGCAAACATTATATTTACTGTTACTTAAAGCATAGCACAATGCTTTGAAGGCCTTTTTTAGCTGCTACACTTTAATGAAAGTTATTATATGGCTAGCTCCGTGAGTGGGCAAGAT